ACCCCAGCTGTGTACTTCTTACCCCAGCTGTGTACTTCTTACCCCAGCTGTGTACTTCTTACCCCAGCTGTGTACTTCTTACCCCAGCTGTGTACTTCTTACCCCAGCTGTGTACTTCTTACCCCAGCTGTGTACTTCTTACCCCAGCTGTGTACTTCTTACCCCAGCTGTGTACTTCTTACCCCAGCTGTGTACTTCTTACCCCAGCTGTGTACTTCTTACCCCAGCTGTGTACTTCTTACCCCAGCTGTGTACTTCTTACCCCAGCTGTGTACTTCTTACCCCAGCTGTGTACTTCTTACCCCAGCTGTGTACTTCTTACCCCAGCTGTGTACTTCTTACCCCAGCTGTGTACTTCTTACCCCAGCTGTGTACTTCTTACCCCAGCTGTGTACTTCTTACCCCAGCTGTGTACTTCTTACCCCAGCTGTGTACTTCTTACCCCAGCTGTGTACTTCTTACCCCAGCTGTGTACTTCTTACCCCAGCTGTGTACTTCTTACCCCAGCTGTGTACTTCTTACCCCAGCTGTGTACTTCTTACCCCAGCTGTGTACTTCTTACCCCAGCTGTGTACTTCTTACCCCAGCTGTGTACTTCTTACCCCAGCTGTGTACTTCTTACCCCAGCTGTGTACTTCTTACCCCAGCTGTGTACTTCTTACCCCAGCTGTGTACTTCTTACCCCAGCTGTGTACTTCTTACCCCAGCTGTGTACTTCTTACCCCAGCTGTGTACTTCTTACCCCAGCTGTGTACTTCTTACCCCAGCTGTGTACTTCTTACCCCAGCTGTGTACTTCTTACCCCAGCTGTGTACTTCTTACCCCAGCTGTGTACTTCTTACCCCAGCTGTGTACTTCTTACCCCAGCTGTGTACTTCTTACCCCAGCTGTGTACTTCTTACCCCAGCTGTGTACTTCTTACCCCAGCTGTGTACTTCTTACCCCAGCTGTGTACTTCTTACCCCAGCTGTGTACTTCTTACCCCAGCTGTGTACTTCTTACCCCAGCTGTGTACTTCTTACCCCAGCTGTGTACTTCTTACCCCAGCTGTGTACTTCTTACCCCAGCTGTGTACTTCTTACCCCAGCTGTGTACTTCTTACCCCAGCTGTGTACTTCTTACCCCAGCTGTGTACTTCTTACCCCAGCTGTGTACTTCTTACCCCAGCTGTGTACTTCTTACCCCAGCTGTGTACTTCTTACCCCAGCTGTGTACTTCTTACCCCAGCTGTGTACTTCTTACCCCAGCTGTGTACTTCTTACCCCAGCTGTGTACTTCTTACCCCAGCTGTGTACTTCTTACCCCAGCTGTGTACTTCTTACCCCAGCTGTGTACTTCTTACCCCAGCTGTGTACTTCTTACCCCAGCTGTGTACTTCTTACCCCAGCTGTGTACTTCTTACCCCAGCTGTGTACTTCTTACCCCAGCTGTGTACTTCTTACCCCAGCTGTGTACTTCTTACCCCAGCTGTGTACTTCTTACCCCAGCTGTGTACTTCTTACCCCAGCTGTGTACTTCTTACCCCAGCTGTGTACTTCTTACCCCAGCTGTGTACTTCTTACCCCAGCTGTGTACTTCTTACCCCAGCTGTGTACTTCTTACCCCAGCTGTGTACTTCTTACCCCAGCTGTGTACTTCTTACCCCAGCTGTGTACTTCTTACCCCAGCTGTGTACTTCTTACCCCAGCTGTGTACTTCTTACCCCAGCTGTGTACTTCTTACCCCAGCTGTGTACTTCTTACCCCAGCTGTGTACTTCTTACCCCAGCTGTGTACTTCTTACCCCAGCTGTGTACTTCTTACCCCAGCTGTGTACTTCTTACCCCAGCTGTGTACTTCTTACCCCAGCTGTGTACTTCTTACCCCAGCTGTGTACTTCTTACCCCAGCTGTGTACTTCTTACCCCAGCTGTGTACTTCTTACCCCAGCTGTGTACTTCTTACCCCAGCTGTGTACTTCTTACCCCAGCTGTGTACTTCTTACCCCAGCTGTGTACTTCTTCCTGGTGGTCTAATGACTTAGCTGATATAGCAGCAAGTAAATGTATGGAGGCATCTCTTGCATATAAGCTGGCAGAGTGACAGTAAGAGTATTTGGTAAAAGATAAAGCTTTTAAGTTTAGGATTTGACTTTATGGGGAACGTTGATCTTCTTGCAGGTAGGTTCCTTCCCTTTTTCCGAATGAAGAATGGTGCTGTCTTTTTAGTAAAAACCAAATTTTACTTATGGATGTTAATTCCATGTTGACATGGAAGGTCCTTCTTTGTGCTGTGGAGCATTTTGTTGTTCTCATGCTTGTTCTTATTTTAAGGGGATGAACTTAGAATTCCCTAATCTGGTCTCTGCAGCAGTTCTGAATATCGCCCTGGCATTCCCTGTGGGATGCCTTGGTCTCTGCAGGTCTGTGCTTTCTTTGATCTTGGAGGGGCACTGACAGGACAAGAGGCTGTGGGCACAAACTGAAACATAGGAGGTTTCCTCTGAATATATGGAAACACTTCCGTTACTGTGAGGGTGACCAAGGACTGGCACAGGTTGGTTGCTCAGGAAGGTTGTGGAGTCTCCATCCTTGGAGATTCAGAAGCCATCTGGACAAGGTCCTGGGTGACTGGCTCTAGGTGGCCATGCTTGAGCAAGGGGATTGGACAAGATGACCTCCAGAGGTCCCTTGCAACCTCAACCATACTGTGTTTCTGTGATCTTGACCAGTGTGCTGTCCTGAGCTAGTTGCTTTACCCCTCTTCTTCCTGAGAAGTACTTGTTTTGTATTTGCTCTTGTATAATGAGATTCTCTACTTCTGTGGAACAGCTATCGTTACAGCTTTTGCAGACTAGAAATCTTTTCTTCTGTTACTGCATTAGTTATTGTAAATTCTTACAACTTTTTATTATCTCTTTTCAAGGAGGTAGGTGGTTTTGCAGTCCTACTCAGTATTCCGCTCAAAAAACCAAACAAACCAACCGAAACAACAAATAACAAAACCTCCATGCCCCATCATAACACCCAGTGCCTCTTATTTATAATAAGCACAGACTAACAGTGAAGGCATCCAAGTCCTTCTCTTGACTTTTAGTTGAGTGCTGTCTTTGATGTGTTTATGAATTAAAATACTGCTTAAGAGTAACGATTCGTGATTAATTCTTAAAATAAAGCTAGCACTTTTATTTGAGTTACTTTATTGAAAGTCTGTTAGCTCAAAAATAATCTAAAGCAATGTGAACAGCGGTGGCAGAAGCTGAATATCTGCAGCTAAGCTGAAGTGTTCTACTGGATGAATGGAAGCGTTCTAATCTGAGAAATGCCTGACCTTTTTTTTTTCTTTTTTCTTCCCACCCTCTAGAGCTCACAAGGAAATACAATGAAGCAATTCATGGATATATTTTCCTTGCCAGAAATGACGCTCCTCTCTTGTGTGAATGAATATTTTCTGAAAAACAACATAGACTATGAGCCTGTTCATCTGTACAAAGATGTCAAGGTACTAGCTTTGAAGATTTAGGTAAATCTCTGCATTTGTGCGTCTTCTCTGTGAGCACTTCAGGAATGTTCAACCTGTTGCGTCAGCTCTGGTGAAACACCTCAACTTCAGGTTTACTATAGAGTAATTATTGCTATACAGCCGTGAAAACATAAGTAAAATGAAGGTAGACCTTGGAACAGAAACATAGAATAATTTGAAATTTATTTTAAAACTGACATTCTAGGGTTGTTGCTCTTTTTGTAGGTTTGAGGGGAGGATGGGGGAAAGTGAAGAAGCTCTTTTACGTCTATAAAGCTTCTTTTGATTGTTATTAAAAGTATACTTTTCTCACTAGCAGGAATTGTAAGAGGCTATAGGGAATGCCAGTTTGGAGCTCTGTTGTACTGCCTCTGTATCTTCACTAGCATATGATTATTTGTTGTCTCTTGCTTTTGGCATATATATTTTGCCTGTTTTCCTCTCTTCCAGAAAAATCTGGTAATAATGACTAGGGTAATTTGACCCTCTTGATTCCTCAGGATGTACCCTGCAGAGGAGATAATTTTATGTCATGGTTATTTAAGAACAGAAGAGGTCATGCTGAAGTTGATGGTATTTATCTGCACAGGCTTTCCATCCAAAACCTTTTCCTGGCCCCTTGTTGGCATATTAAATTTGTGTAGTTGTTCAGCCTGTGTGATGCACCTGAATGTTGAATTTCTCACTATCCCAAGTAGTTCAGATGGATTTTAAGAAACTTATGACCTCCAGAGCAATTTTCCCTTCTGCCTATGGTTGCATAGCCTCAGAAAGCTAGTTCTTGTGGTTTCTGCTGAAGCTTTTGTAGAAATTTCTGTACTGCTCAGTATTACCAACATTTTGTAAGCCCTATAGTGGCATTTTTTTGAGGATTTATAGGACATACTCCATGTAAGTACCAAAATGGCAGTACGACTATCCTAAACAAAGCAGTCTGCTGCAGAGCTGGCTCAGGAGAGCTGCCAAATGCCTTCAGAGCGCCTTATGGGTACTTTGCTTAAGCATTTAGCTGCTTTCATCTGTTCATAAATTTCTCTTTTAAATAACCAGGACGTTTGCGAGTGATCATAATCTAAAATCTGCCTGACTTAAAGCTTTTTTTTTCTTTTTTTTTTTTTTTTGCAAAAGGAAAGGAATGTGTTCTGCTTCAAAGGTCATTGGAAACCTGTGATGACTTTGCTTTGCTTCCTCAGAGGGCTTTCACCCCACTTCACCCTTCTGAGCACCATTTCATGATTCTTATGTAAAACAGCCCCTGTGCTATACAGTTTTGTACTTCCCAAAAGTACGGAGTTTCTTGGAGGACAGGCTTACTCTTTGTCTAACGGTGACATATATATAAAAAAAATAAACATCACATGGCATTTCTGTAAAGTTGAAAGTCTAATTCAGAGAAAGGAATTGTTTTTTAAGACAAATGACTACCATGATGCAGTGAGTATGGTTTTTATACTTGAAAAGATTTTTCAGTTCTTTAATTACTCTGTTGCTTTTCTGACAGGATTCAATCAGGGATGTCCACATCAAAGGAATAATGTACAGAGCAATTGAAGCAGATATTGGTAAGTATTAATGAGATCATCTATCAAAGCTTTTTTCACTGATAGTATAATGATCTTTCTGGCTTCCTTATTTAGGATTACAAATGCTAAATTTTAAAGCTTGAAAGAGTTATTTCCTCTTGCCTAAGGTGCCTTTGTTGAGTATAACCTCATGTTCAACCCTTGGTTGAATACAGAGAAAATTCTTGTGAAAACCTTTTTCAATTAATATTGTGTTTTCCCCAATCCTCCCAGAGAAATACATCTGCTATGCTGAACAAACTCGTGCGGTGTTAGCAAAGCTGGCTGATCATGGCAAGAAGATGTTTCTCATCACAAACAGTCCCAGCAGCTTCGTGTAAGGGAACCACTGTTTGCTGTTCAACTATAGATTTCTAAAGGATGGGGATGATGAGGTTTTTGAATGTAATTCATTATATTGCACAAATAACTGCACTTCTGTTATGCTTCACTGTTCATATTCATCTGTTCTTTTTAGGGACAAAGGCATGAAGTTCATAGTTGGCAAGGACTGGAGGGATCTCTTTGATGTGGTCATTGTACAGGCTGATAAGCCAAACTTTTTCAATGATAAGCGAAGGTGGGTATTTAGTCAGTAAAGAATGATCCAAGCAGCTTATACCATATAAGGCTATAGAGCATGTTATGAAATATTTTAATTTGGATGCAATGTAAAATTAATCATATTTGATGAAATCCTGTTTAAGTTCATTACAGAATGAAACAACACCCAATTCTGAAGTCCAAATATTTGCCATTTCTTACCTAAGAAAGTTCCAGTAGCTATTACAGGTCTACTGGACTGAGCTAGGGTCACAGAAGCTGTTTTTAGCATCTTAGCTTGTAAGTTGATGAAGTGTGTTCCTTTCCTAATAAACCTGAGAAATTCTGGTGCCTTTCAGAATCAGCCCCTTTTCTGGAAACATCTTTCATTGCTTCTGGTTTTGTTTAGCCATACATGATATTTAAAGGGCAGGCTGGCTGATAGACTGGAGTATTTGTACTAGTTCAATTAAGTAAACGTGTTTGTAATGTGTATGCACTACTCTTACACTTGAAAAAGACCTTTTATCTGTAGTTATGATTTAAAAGGAGATAGAGGGAGTTGGAATTTTTTTTTCCCTTCTTTTCATTTAATTTTAAAAATAACTTTGCTGTACGTCTTTCCCCCAGTCCTCTGCCCCCTTCTTCAGTATTCTTTTATCTGTAGTTATGATTTGAAAGGAGATAGAGGGAGTTGGAATTTTTTTTCCCTTCTTTTCATTTAATTTTAAGAATAACTTTGCTGTATGTCTTTCCCCCAGTCCTCTGCCCCCTTCTTCAGTTGTTCAGTTGTACAAAATGAGGTATTGGGCAAGATTTTTACACATCTTCACTTCTTTCGTGTTCTCTTTTCTCCTTTTTAATGGCAGACAGTTTGTTCTGTCTGGGATCCCTGCCTTAGTTCTCAACAGTTGTTCTCAAACTCCATTATAAATGTCTCATGTATACTGGGTAGATACATTGCATTTTACTGGCTAAGGCTGAATTTTGGAGCTTTGTGTTTTCTGTCCGTTACAAAATGATCAGATGCTAGAGAGCGTGTTTTCCTTTTCAAAGACAAATATTTTTAATATTAAAATTTTAATCTCCTCCTAAAAAGTGTCAGAATTTCTACAGCAATGTAACAGTTGTATGTAATTCTATTCTAGACCATTTCGGAAGGTGAATGAAAGGGGAGTGTTGCTTTGGGACAAAATTCACAAGCTGCAGAAAGGTCAGATTTACAAACAGGTATGCTTCCAATAAACTCTTTTGGTTCAGATTTAATACCTATTCCTGAGGATCCTGAGCTTTAGACATCACAAAGGCCTCTAAAAAGTAGGTATGCTTTTTAAGGGAGTTATTTCAATGATTGAAATGGTACATTGTTGGTATTGTATGTCTTCAGTTTACTTGCCTCTTGAAGTGATAGTATTAATTGACTGTAAAATTTGGGATTCATAACACATAAGTTGAGGACAAGATTCTTGATATGAAAATATTTGTAGAGGTGAACTAAATTCCTTTTTCATGCCTGTGAAGGTGCAATGCTGCTACAATGTATGTGTCATTGTTTCCACAGGGTAACTTGTATGAATTCCTGAAGCTCACTGGCTGGAGGGGCTCTAAGGTTCTCTACTTTGGTGATCACATTTACAGTGACTTGGCAGTAAGTAGTTTACTTGCACAAAATAAGATAAAAGATGAGGCTTTTCGTTCATTTTCCTCTCTTCCTCCTCAGTGATTTGGTATAACACGCTTTCATTTGAGATTGCTAAATACCACAGAATTGGAGTTGGTAATTAAGCCATATTGCTTTTCTTGCAGTGAGGAAAATTGGTGCTGTAAAAGGCAGACCATATTTTCCACCTGACTTGTAGCATTTAACTTGTTTACAAAATGCGGTCAGGAATGTGTGAGTTTGTATTTCTGATCCAGATACCGATTGTGTCAGATGTAACAGAGTAAACACAGATACCCAAATGTACAGGATGTGGCCGATCTGGATGACATTTACTACCAAGTGTAATAAGATCTGAATGAACTTCTCTTTTGAATGAAGGAGGCAATTTTCCTGTCGCTAATGGTAAACTTCCTTTCTTCCCAAGATATTGCTATAGTTTGTAGCCCCACTATCCAGTGGGGCTATTCTTACTACCTTATGAACAAATGTACTGTTAACTGTTACTTTAGAGTAAGTGACCACCGCTTAACTCTCTTGTAACTGATTGCCTATGAATGCCTGGATATGACTTTCCACTGCCAAGCCGTGGTAACGTGTTTTGGCAGCAGCAGATGTTAATGTTTTTGCCCCAAACTGCTTTTAAAAAGAAAAGTAAGTCTGGGTGCTTCAGAAGGCTGAGGGCCAAAAGAAGGAGGATGCAGCTCTGTTCCTCTCTGGCACAATGGAGGAAAGAGCACAGGTGGCAGCTGCCTTGTCCTCTGCTTGTCAGGAGGAGTTTGGATAGCTGGGGGTCCTGATAGGACCCTTCTGTCAGCTGAGTGTATGGGTAAATACCATGAACCGAACACGCTATTTCTTCCAGATACTTCTGACAGCAGCAGAGGTCTCATCTACGAGAGGAATTCCCTACTGTTTGTTTTAAGCCTAATGAATTAGTGCTTATTTGCAAGTGCTTATGTGTTCTTTATCTCTCTTTCTTTAAAAATGTGGGATTTGAAGCTTACTCTGAAATGAAAATCTATTGCCTATTGGTACAGTTCAGTCACACGTTAATATTTCAGCTTATAAGAAGCAATTAAATTAGTGCCTCTTTGGGATAAACAATGGTCAAATTCTTCAGTTCTTTTAAGTAGTTCTTTTTAAGACTAATACTTGTCTCTTGTAATTCTTCTTGGTAAATAGGATTTGACCCTGAAGCATGGCTGGCGCACTGGTGCAATTATTCCAGAGTTGCGATCAGAGATTAAAATCATGAACACAGAGAAGTACATTCAAACCATGACCTGGCTGCAAACCTTGACAGGATTACTAGAACACATGCAGGTTTGTTCTGTGTGTGTGTGTAATCGGCTCTGTATAGCAGAAGGGATCCAGCCAAGTTTCTAAATGCTGGTCATTGACATTGCAAGTGCTTTCTGTCTCATTAAAGTTCACCAGTTTGACTGTAGATAAATAAATGCAATTATTTGTGTGGCTAGTTAATAAGAATTTTACCAAAATCTTGTTCCTTTCCTGCGGTTGTCAGCCTGGATTGATTCCTGCTTTCAGTTGTTTAAAGTGTATGTGGGTAACTTCTGCATCCTGATCTCTGAAGTGTTGCTCTTGTCCTGTTAGCTGATAAGGGTTTATTAATGGAAAGGCTCATTTACAAGGGCACCCTTAGTTACCTGTCATCCATACTTTGCATTCCAGGTTCACCGTGATCCTGATTCACAAATGATTTTAGAAGAATGGAAGAAGGAAAGAAAGGAAATGAGGTAAGACATGGGAGACGAAGAATTTGCAATATCCTTCATGGTAGCCAGGTGTTCTATGTGGTATCCTCCACAGGTTTTTTCAGAATTTCTATCTATCCCTGGTTTACATTCCCTGGTAGTTACAGACCTTCTACAGTTACCTGTGTAAAGCAATATTCTACCTGTGCAGCTTTTCTCTCCCCTGACCCTTTGTGCCTATGAACCCCTTTTCCCTGCTCCCCATTTTTTGGAACAGATGTTGGCTTTCTACATGAAAGTGTGACATCAGATCAAGTACTTTTCATCTTAGTTCTCCTGTTCCTCTATGTTCACTGTCACCATTGCTACTGATTACACAGCTGAACTTCTGCATGTTTTAAAAATGTGTTTCTGTGTCAAGACTTAGGTCACTTCTTCAGTTTTTTTAGATTATTTCTTCAGATCTACATATTCTAAGATGTATTGTATGTAAAACTGGGCTCTGCACTAAACTGGATTTAGCAGTGGACTCATCACAAAGATAGGTAATCGGGCTAAACCTCCTAAAAAATCTACTATCATGAAGGAGCAATCCCTAAATGCAGGGTGTGTGAAGTGCACAGTTGGCAAGGCCACCAAACGTACCACCAATAGCCTTCTCCAGAAGTGTGGAAGTAAATAAAATGGGAATGATACTTGGCAGTGACTAATAACAGAAGTTAATTCCAAGATGTGTTTAAGCTTTTTCTGTACATTAAATCTTTGTACTAAATCTTTGCGTTTTTTTTTTTTTTTAAAAAGTCTTCTATCTTTCGGACAAGTGGATGTCGTTAGGATTTAGATGAAGGCAAAAGTCTTTCAAGGCCAGGTTGGGTGGGGCTCTGAGCAACCTGATCTAGCTAAAGGTGTCCCTGCTCGCTGCAGAGGGACTAGATGATCTCTAGGGGTCCCTTCCAACCCAAAACATTCCATGATTCTTTCATAATCTCTAGAAAGGAAAGCTTGAGATGTTTCTGAAGTCAGAAGCAACTTATCATTGGGTTTAGTGGGAGAAGTGTGAAGCTCTTCTGTTCACTACTGTGATTGCTAGATCTGGGCTAACACATGTGCAAGAGGTGCAAAAATTTCTTGTTGTGCATTTAAGTGGTTTGAAGTGCAATGACAAGAGAATAATGCATAGAACAGACTGTAGGTTCAGGTTCCAGATGCTAGCTGGTGAAGAGATGTGTGCGGGTATGTTCATTCTATTTGTGTTGGGTTTTTTTTTTTGTTTCTTGTGGGGACAGGGAGATGAACAGGAATTTCTTCAACGCACAGTTTGGAAGCTTATTCAGAACTGATGAGAACCCAACCTATTTCCTAAGACGTCTCTCTAGATTTGCGGATATCTACATGGCATCATTGAGTTGTCTCTTGAACTATGAGCCTGATTACACGTTTTATCCAAGAAGGACTCCTTTGCAGCATGAACTTCCTGGCTGGTCAGACCAGCTGTGCACTGGTACATTCAGAATACCTTTCCTACAAGAGAGAGTTCAGATCAAATAAGTACTTGGCTTGTTCTCTCTGAAATGGGCAAATGTATCTTTTTTTTTTTTTTTTAAAAAATTTTATTTTGAATGTACGTGTATTTTATTTAAGTAACTTAAAATCTGTTATCCTGATTTAGATGTAATTCATACTTGTTCTCATAAGCATTGTACCCATTTTCTCCACTCGTGCTCTGAGATGTGAAAACTCTTACACACAGAAGAGATGATGGACTGCCTAAATAGTAGTGGGCTGGGATGGAGGGCAAGTTTGAGGGGAAGGACTGGTGCTGTTCTGGGGTGGTTGTTTTTGTTTCTTTGTTCATCGGAAATGTCGATCTGCAGCCTGGTGGTTTACAAAGAAATACTCTCTGTTCTAGCCCTGATCAGAACTCCAGCTGGAGCCTGTAATAGATCTTGCCACTGAAAAGCTTAAATCCAGTGTTAGTAATTCTGTGACACGCAGTTAGTAGCCAGTTTACAGTGAGACTGAGAGCGATGGCGTGCGTGTTTTAACCTTCCTAGCTGCCGTAGCTAGAGCCTTACCTGTAACTGAAGTAAGTGCTGCGTAGCGTTGGTGCGGCTCTGCTGCATTGCAGTGGTTACGGCACAGGCGGGCTCCGGCTGATGAGGGCTGCTGCTCCTGTCTGTGCAGTTTCTGTTCTTGTAATGTCTGTGCTTGGCTGTAGGTGGACCTGAGCCTAAAACTGGCAGCGGCAGTACCTTGGGCTGCCTCAGCTTCCTTTTCGTTAACTTTTAGGTACCTTGCTTTTAAAGTTTCAAAACACTTTAAATATCCATTCTCTGAGAATAAAGCCGTTTCAAGAGGTCTTGCATTTTGCATTTCAAGGTGGAGACAGATCTCTGTTAGGCTTTAGATTGATCCTAAATGCTGCTTTTTAAAACTTCAACAGTGTCTTACCATGGTATGCAATGTGGTTTTGCTGTTCCCTAGGAGAGAATGTATTTCATACAGCCTTCAGTAATGGACTTTTACAGTCAAAAGTAAACACGCACAATGGGCAAATGAGTTAAAAGAAAAATTAAGAAATGAGAAAACAAACCCCAGAGTTTTCTGACTTCTTTAGCTCAAGCCCTCAAAACTGAATTGGGGGAAGTGGACAGATTGCATCAATCAAAATAATTTTGGCGGTGCAGATTAGAAGTTTTATTGAATTACTGAAATTACAGGTAATGCATGAACACAAACTCTGGGTATCATATATGTTCCAAAGATTTGAGCTGAAAAATGCCTATTTTGCACAAGGAAAACGTCTGCTGATGTGTTTCCTCAAACAGGCACTTTACAGAACTGCTATATAGCTGTTTGTAAATAAGGATGCTTTCCTTTCTCTGCATCCAAAGGAAGTGTTTTTTTTTAACTGGTGCTTCCCACCCCAGCCATTTTAGAAGGCATGATATGATTAATATTTTTCAAATTTGTTATTAAAGACTCTGGTTTTAAAAGCATATAATTAACAAAATATATAGCATTTGGTATTCTTCATTTTGGGATATCACTTGCTTCCTACCATGATTGTCAGATAAACAAACTTTTGGTGACCAAAAGTTTTCTTGTTTGTTTGGTTTTTTTTTTTAACCTGTCTGTATTATGTGCGAGTATCTGTATTGAATTTCATATGCAGTACGTACATTGAATTTCATATTTTTAAAATCATGTTTGCAAAGTGAAGAATGTATTCTAAACTAGCCTGCACAATTTCATAAGCAGTTTTCCTGTATGCTTGAAATTGGTCTGAAGCCCTCAGAGGCAGTTGTAGATTTTATGTTTGTGGTTTCTTGTGTGCCTGTTTCAAACTTGACCTGCAACACTCCTGAAGTCTGTGCGTTTAAACAGATGAATGTACTTGAAACGAGTAAGTTCATCTGACCATTTTGCTGGAAGAAAAAGATAGTTTTGCAGGAAGTGAGTTTGGCTTTATCAGGAGATTTGGTGGTGTGGCTGTGTGAGAAATACTTAGCATAACTTGATAGTGAAACATGGGGATGGAAATAGCCCCGATTTGCCTTCAGTTCTTTATCCTAATGCTTGGCTAGAACCGAACATAGTCTTACATGTAAACACCTCTCACGCTCCAGGGATTTCAATGCACTGTTTAAAAAAATAATAAAAAACCCCATCTCACTACCAGCGAATAATAGCATTGTGCTATTCAGTCCTGCATTACTGGATTTGATAATGTTTTGTTGGTTATAGCTCTGTGATGTCTCTTTTAAAGCTGGCTAGAAGTCAGTTTGTTTGCCTAATTTTCCTGTGTTAAGCAGGAACAGTTTAATTTGGGTTGAATGATGTTATCCACATAATACACATTTTGTTTCAAGATGATTTCCTCCTCTCCCCTTCCCTTTCTCTTAACTTACAAATCAAACTTCTGTACAAAGCTGTGTTACAAAAGCCAGCTGAAATAAAATCTTGTTTATATTGCATGACTTCCTGAAATAAACAACATTGCATGAAAAAAAAATCATTATGGGAGGGTTATGTTCCTTTAAAACACCCCAACTATGTATAATATGAAATTAAATGAGAATTTTGACATGTATTATTTTTTTTCAGTGCTAGAATGCTCTTCTTTAACTTTTAAAAATGTCTTGCGTTTTTGTAACTATTTCAGAGAACTTGAGCTGCACACCTCGGCACCTCTCTGCATTACTTATTTTAACCTTGTTAATGTTACTGACTTCAGATTTTTGAGCATGTTTTAAAGGGCAGCGTCTTTTCACATTCGCTTTGGGAGTATGGTTTATTTGAACACCAAAGCAAGAAGAAATTCTTTCTGTTCTGTCAAAAACTCTGAAGAGAATAGTCTGTCAGTAAAAGAGTTTAATTAACTGTGGAAATTTTTTTTTTGTGATAAAAAAATATGTAATGATTATTGCAAAAATAAATGCTTGGACTTTATCGATTCCTACGAGCCTTAGTATTTTCGGTGACTGGGGAGAAGGAAAGACCATGAGTTGTATTAATTGCAAAACTCTGGGGGGGAAAACTCTAAATATGTGTGTGTGTGTGTTCTAAATTTTTTAATATCTTATAGGTAAAAACAAGCAGGCATGTGTAGGGGGCAAGGGAAGGAGTTGGGGAAATCCCTTCCGTCTGTCTCTTTCATCCAGGCATATTTACACATCAGAATCCCCTTAGCTGTGCTCAATAGCTGCGTCAACAGCCCTGGAGGTGCCTGCGTACCTTGTTCTGATGGGAGCCATCCTGGGGTTGCTCTCAGAGGTAAGTGATGCTTTCCTGCAGTGACACCTTCCCTCCCACCCCCTGCATGCGGTGGGCACCAGGGAGCACATCCTAGGGGAACGTTACTGCTGCCAGCAAGAAAAATCCTCCTTTTCTTGCTGTTTTGTGGTTTCTACAGTGTTCTCACCATTTACTACAACATTAATGTTTTGAGGGAAGGAAACTAATAGGGTGGTGAAAATCACAGCTCTTACTGCTGTGTGTCAGTTGAAAGGCAATGTTAACGTGCTTGGTAAAATCATGGTATGTGAACAAGCAGGTAGCTTCTGGTCCTCACAGACCCAAAAAACTGAATGCGGACATGAGATGGCAAGTACATCATCTTCATTGCCCACTTTTCACAAAAATAGCTCAAGTAAAAATGGATTAGTATTTGAAATACCCTCATATCAACTGTATTCCTTGCTAAAGCTGCTACAATTACTATTTCCCTTTGTTACCTTGAGGTGAGATGGAAACAAAATACAGTCAAGTTGGAGGAAAGACAGAAAAGCTGGAGTGGGCAAGCAGGGCAGACGGGATGGCTGCGTTTCCTGCTGCTGAAATTCTTGCAAGAAAGTACACAAGCAAAAGAAAAAAAAAAAAACAAACCCTCTGTTTAAACACACAGGTTTAACACATGTTCTGTTTCATGCTTGCCAGTTGCAGTTGTAACTGAGCCCAAGTAAAAGTGTGGAGCTGGAGTACTAGCAACTTTAGGCTATTTGCCAAGTTAGCGCACTGTGTTTGAGGCAGTTTTAAAGCCTGTGGAGAAGAATGAAAGCGGTTAAACAGCAGGTTGGTGAAAGTCTATTCACTGAGGAGCGCCTGCTTGCTCCTGGGTGGGTTAGTTGGGGTGCAGTGTTGCGTTTGGCACTCTTAGTTGATACTGCTCAGATACAGCCACCGCTTCCGAGGCTGGTAACTCCATAAACTCTATAGAGTTCCATACTCTACTTGAGAGTTCTACTCTCTAGACTGCATCTTAAACAAAGCCGTGCTCTTTTGGTTTTTAATTTGTAATGAGATTTTATTCCCTGTGCTGTAAGTGTAAATAGAAATGTGGTTTATAATTGACTAATGCCAGATTTAGTCTTTAATTCTGATCATGAGGACCACTCAACACAAGCTGCTGGTCATCTGAATCCTATAAAATAGAAGAAAAAGAAAATCAGACTTGAATGTTGCATTAAGAAATTCAAGTCACTTTTTGGCAAATTTGTTTGTACAGGTGGCAGAGTTCGCACCTGACATTTTTTCACCAAACAAGTCTCTTTACTGGATGCAAAAAGGTTTATTTTTATTTTAAACTCTGCATGTACATGAGGGTCTTGCTAAATCGGACCCTCGAGGCTATTCAGATACTCTAGCTTTACTCAGTCTTTCCTTCCCTTGTTTCCCAGCCCCCTTCCCGTTGCATTTCAGATTCTTTGCAGAGTGCTGGCATGGCGCTCAGCTGTGTTTGCAGCAACGTTCATTAGATGTATAGACATGCCGCTGGCATCCAGTAGCTTCAAAGTCCAATTTAATTCAGCTATCTTTGAGGGTAGACTTGAGATGCAGCTGTAGAGCACAGACCTGATTTCTAGCAGTAGTGAGACAGGAAAGCCAGGAACTTGAATTGTATTTTCTCAAATTAATTTTTCTTTTTTTTTTTTTCTGAACTAGTCATTTTCATTTCATAAAGTCACTTCCCCTTACTGTGATTTTAGTTGTATCTTGATTTCAAATAAAGGTAAACACTTACTGAGAAAAGATCATAAGCAGGTTCCAGTGGACTTGGTGCAGAAGAACTTTCGTATGAAGGGTTGGTGACATTTGAAGGCTGTGACTTGTCCAGTGGTGTTACGTCAGTGTCA